TCGGGGGGGTGTTAGGGGAAGTGGATTTGATGTTCTGTGTAGAATCAGACGTGGGTTGGGTTGGAAGGATCTTAAGATCGTTCAGTCGCACCCCCTACCATGGGCAGGGACACCTTCCACTAGCCCACGTTGCTCCAAGCCCTATCCAAAGGGATATGGAGCACTCCCAGGGATGGAGCAGCCACAGCTTCTCTGTGCTAGAGCCTCAGCACCCTCCCAGGGAACAATTTATTCCTAATATCCAATCTCACTCTCTGTCAGTGTGAAACCATGCCCCCTTGTCCTGTCCCTCCAGGCCCTTGTCAATAGTCTTTCTCCAGAGAGATTGGAACAGGCTCCTCAGGGCACTGGTGAAATCACCATCCCTGGCAGTGTTCAGGCAACAAGTAGCTGTGGCACTCCCTGATGTAGTTTTGGTCTAGTTGACAAAGTGGTGCTGGGTCACAGGTTGGATGTGATGGTCTTAGAGGTCTTTTCCCACCCTTGTGATTCTCTGATCCAGTGAGTTTGGCTGAAGCTCTTGGTGGCTGCACAGGTGCTGTCAGTGGGACACTCAGCCTGGCCCGTGCTGAGTCTGACAGGGACAGTCAGGGGGTTAAAGTGTCACATCACAGGTCACAAATCGTCTAAACTGCTGTTGCTGCCAGGTCACACCGATGTGTCACACTGCTCCCTGCAGAGATCTGGGAGCAGAGCATCAGTGCTGCCAAGGAAACAACCTCGGGCTTTAGGATGCCATAGATAGCTGCTGCTTGGATTGGATGTTCCCCAGCTAAATGTGTTGCTGATGTCCCTGAGGAGGCATTTTAAGGATCATAGATGTTGGAATGGGCTGTTCAGGGAGGTGGTGGAGTCACCATGCCTGGAGGTGTTTCAGGAATGTCTGGATGTGGCACTTAGTGCTCTGGTCTAGCTGAGAAGGTGATGTTAGGTCATAGGTTGGACTTGAGGTCTTTTCCAACCTCAGTGATTGTGTGAGTCTGTGAACAGGACTGTTTTTCAGGGCTTTGTAGGAGTAATCTTGCAGTGAGACTCAAGTGGCTGTAAGGAATGAAGTCTTCACTCTGACCTCTCCTCCTTGCAGGCTGCAGAAGATGTCAATGTCACTTTTGAAGACCAACAGAAAATCAACAAGTTTGCCAGAAATACCAGCAGGATCACAGAGCTGAAAGAAGAAATAGAGGTGAAAAAGGTATATTTGCTTCAGATTTCACTTAACTCTTCAGTGCCCTGTGTCAGTTCTAACACAGCAGATGAGTTTTGCTTTGAGTCTGATGTGGGATTTCTGATACTTGGAAAACAGAGAATGGTGAAGTGGAAGAGAAGTTATGAGAAATGGAGATAATCCAGTATATTTCTGTCTGCAGTTCTTGGAACAATTTAGCTGTCACACATGAAGCATTATCTGACACAATGGGGGTTTGTAGTGCTCTTAAACCTTCCTGCCTGAGATTATTCATAGTCATTTTGTCTTGAACCACAAAGGCAGTTGTTAGTTTCCTTGTTTTGATGTGTTGAGCTTGTCATTCTGAGCACAGAGTGTTTATTTGGCTGGGCTGAAGAGGATGCATCATTCTGATTAGTAAATCACTTCAACATCACTCAGAGCATTTCCAGGAAGTTTTACTGGGGTTTAAGAAATGCCAGTACTGGCACAAAGTGTTTGCTGGAATCATTTTGCCTGATATGGACCTGGTAAAAATGGCCCTTTCATACTGTGGCTCAAGGTGCTGGGACTGTGAGCAATCACTGCTGCAACAGAGGAACTAACATTTGCCATTTTATGGACTTTTTCTGTCCTCTAGCTAAATTAAATAATCTTCTGTAAGATTAGATCAGATACTAGTGAAATTAAAATCTATATTTCCCTTGTCTAACAGTTAATCATTCTGTTAATGACAGAGAATGAGTATTGACTAGGAATTTTGACTGGATTGGATGTTGATGCTAAATCACAGCTGTGGTGTAGATATCCTGGTGGTGGGTGGAATTCTGGCCCCAAATCCAGACTCCCTGAGTTCCTTATCCAGCTGGTGGCATCACAGTGTGTTCACCTGGCACAAAGTGATCATCTTCTGTCGTGATAAATAGAAACAGCTTCAAAACTTGGAAGATGCCTGTGATGACATCATGCTGCTGGATGATGCTGACTCCCTCCTGATCCCCTACCAGATTGGAGATGTCTTCATCAGCCATTCCCAGGAGGAGACACAGGAGATGCTGGAGGAGGCAAAGGTTGGTCTGGGCCAAAGGCACCTCAGAATCATAGAATGTACAGATTTGGAAGGGACCCTTGAGGATCATCTAGTCCAACTCCTTGGCTGTGTTGCCTGCTGGAGTGTGTGGAACATTGGAGTGGGATGAGCTGTTCCTCCGTGGAACCTTTGACTTTCTGAAGGTGATGTTTGGTTTGGGGTGGAGGAGGGATGATTTTGGAGGGATGTGTGTGCAAGGCAAGTCACAGTTGGGATGTGACATACAAAATTTCTTTGGCTCAGCAATAAATCTCAGACTCACAGACTCATCAAGGCTGAGGAGACCTCTGAGATCACTGACTTGGCAATCAGTTGGCAGAGGAGTAGCTCATTCTCCGGTCTGTGTTGCTGACAAACATCACTTTGTTTGTTTTACATAATTGTTTGTTTTCATTCTCTTTTCAGAGAAGTTTGCAAGAAGAAATTGAAGCCTTAGAGTCCCGGGTGGAGTCAATTCAGCGGGTCTTGTCTGACCTCAAAGTTCAGCTCTATGCCAAGTTTGGAAATAACATAAACCTTGAGGCTGAGGACAGTTAAAGATTTCCTACACACCCCATACAACCTTTCCTTGCTTGTTACATGTTTTGATATCATTGTTCCAATTACAACTGAAAAAAAAATCCACCGCTTTTGTTTCTTCCTGATTTTTTTAACTTCCCTGTCTTGAGTTCAGTTTATTTAATGAGAACTTCTTTTGGTTATTTATTTGTTCAGGAAAGATTTAGCTTCACTCTGTTGGTAAAGCATCAAGACTGAAATCTTTGCACTGGTTATTAAAGGAATAAAGTCAGGCATGGATTGGATTGGAGTTTCCTTGGTCTTGTTTTCCGCTCCTGGAAGTACTTAAGTATACAAATAATGGAAATGGGAAATTTTTGCTTTGCCTGTGAGAGCTGTTTGACAAAAGCTCCTCTGTGATAGATGGGACACGACTCAGCTGTGATGCTGGTTAGGGTTTTCAGCCCTCCTGGAGGTAATTCCAGGGTTAGCTCAGGTGTCAGTGTTTAGCTGATAGCTCAGTGCACAACGTGGCAGCAAACTGGGGAGAAAACAGGCTCTTTACAGCTCACGTTGGTATGGAAGAAAAGCTTTTGGGCTCACCATGTTCAGTCATTTATTGCTTTCTACTTGGGATCACAGAAGATGTGTAAGTCAGAGTGGTGAGTCTTAACTTCTCGTTTTCCTGTACATTTGGGTACCAAATTGCTGTCAGAATTGTTCATAGCTGACGTTGCTGTGTCAGCAGCCCTGAAGTTGTGCCTGGTGGAGTTGAATATAAAGAGCAGCTCCCAGCAGATGGCATCAAAGAACTGGGAACCTGAGTTTCTGGCAAGCCATGCCAGGCTGGGAGTGGCACTGCTGGGTTTGGTGAGGTGAGCTCCTGGCTGCAGGGAGCCTTAAATGCTTCTAACACCTTCGGATTCCTTGCTAATGCCTCCACTGCTGTCGGCTGCAGGAAGCCTTAAATGCTTCTAACACCTTCAGATTCCTTGCTAATGCCTCCACTGCTGTGCTGAGCAGTCACAGCTCTGCACACTGCAGGGATTTAAAGGGGTTGGGATTCCCAGGTAGGCACCAGGATGGATGTGGCTTCATTATGGACCAGAAAATGAATCACAGAATGGTTTGGGTTGGAAAGGATCTTAGAGCTCATCTCATTCCAAGCTGCCTTCCTAGTTTTTCCTTTTAATAACCTTTCTCCCTCATGAATATTTACATTTGTTTGTTGTTTAGCACCACATTTTCTAAGTCCTTGTTTTGGTAGACTGGGAATTTCTCTTCTCTCTAATAATGTTTTCCTTACAGCTCTCTTGGTCAGGTAATACAAACCCATGAAACACCTGATGCTCTGTGCCTCTGTACATGTCAGGAATCCTTTAGCTGCACTTGAGTGGATGAACTCTTAAATACCATTGTCAGAATGCAAAGAATTTATTGTCATCCTCTGTATTGCCAAAGGAGAGACACTTGTAAAGCACCTGAAAGCTGAGATGTGCTATGAAAATGTTTTCCCTTTAATCTAAAGGGTTTAGAGTGCTGGGCCAAGGGGCTCCTGTGACCTCTTAGTCATTGAATTAGCTATTCAGCTCAAACTTCGTGTGAAAATACAATTTCAAAGCTGCTTTTGTTTTGCAAGTCACAGATCCACCCGTGGCTGGTTTGTCAGTTGACAGCAGGTAAAAGAGCAAATCTGCAGCAGGTGAAATGCAGCTCATTTTGGTGCCTCCTGTCAAGAGACTCATCAGGTTTTCAAAGCAGCTTCCTAACACCTGTGTAAGCCACAATAGGACACAATTGCTGTACTTAGTGTATTTGCAGGGGTTTGGTTGTGCTTCTGTAACTTGTCAGCTGATAGAAAAGTGTTTTCCACGTGGTGATCTCCAGCATAACCTGCTCCAGTGGACCCTCCACTACTGCACATTGCTCCGTGGAGCAGATCCTTGGATACCTTGACATATAAATATAATATAAATCTGGGGGATAACTCCTCTGTGATTCCAGGAAGTGGTACAGATAATATTGTGGTAATAACTATCATTTCCAAAAAGATCCTGAATTGTGAACATTAAAGCCATATTTTTTCCTGTAGGAACAACAGAACTGAGTAGTTTGCATGACTCAGTGGTTCAGATCATTAATCTAATGGTATTCTAATAGTCTGATTCATGAAAGGGAAAAAACATGGATGTATATAGGCATAATAAAGCCTGACAGGAATTATTTACCACCAAGTTTGGCTTTATTTAGACTGTATGAGTCAGACAGAAAACCAAATCCCTTGGTAATTAAAGGTTAGCTGCTCCTGGCACTGCACAGAACACTCTGCACCAACCACAGGCAGAGATGACCAGGGAGGGTTTCCTCAGCAAGAATCAAACAGGTTTGCAGTTAAGGGGCACTGAGATGTAATCAAGAGTTATAAACATGCTGATTTACACACACCTTGTGTTTGCTGCTGCTCCCCAAAGCTGCTTGGTATGCTGAGTGAGCTCAGATAACAGTGCAGGTGGCATGAGGTGTCCCTGGGTCCTCTTGCCAGCAAACCCTACCCTGGGATTCTTGGCTTCTTTTGCTTCTCTAAGTTCTTGAGGAAGAAGGAACTAGAGGGAACAAAATACAGATTTACAGCCAGCTTTGCCCTGGACAGAGCTGTCAGAATTGAAGTTAAAAAAAATAAATCAGTGTTTTACCTCTAGGACAGAACTTTTTGGACCTTCATTTTTATTTTATGATGGAATTTTGTGAACTAACCATTAATGAACTCATTCATTTCAGGGCTTTACCTCTAAGATACTGCACTGTGGGAGCCAAATTTCTCTCAGATGAGACTTGCAGCTTCCATTCTGCATTTGATGCTCCCCCAGGAGTGTTTGGCCTTCAGCCACATATGTAAGTGACACTTTGCTGCTGTGCATCACTTACCTCCAGCCTGAGCTGTGTGAGCTTTCACCTCCCCAGACAGCAGCTGTGAGTGTTCTAGTGCTGCCTGGTGACATCAGCACGGGGATGTCACCTCAGGTTGGCTTTTATTTGTTGTCCCTGCCTAGAAGCTCCTGCCACGTCAGTTTGTTGCCATTACATTGGATATGACAAACAGCTAATGAAATAAAATCGCCTTTCATTTGCTATCAAAGCAAAGATTTATTTTGTAGCATCGGGAAGTTTCAGCTGGTGCCTGTTGCTATGACAACCCGCAAGAAGTTTGTGCTTAGCTTAGGAATTATCTCAAGAATTTCTTGAGTTGGGTGGCAAATAGGAATGGCAAAAGCTTTCCTTGTAGCAAACAGGACAGGAGGGAGAAGGATCACAGCCTCAAAGACTGCTGGTTTCCCTCATTTCAAAGGGGAAATTCTTCTGGATGTCAAAGTTGAAACTAAAGTTTGGAGTAATTTGTCACCTGCTCTTTTCATTTGGCCTTTGTGCAGCAGTGAAGAATTCTATGTTTGCTTTTCATGCACTAGATTTCAAGCCTTGCTAACAAGCTTTGGATCAGGTTTGGCTATTAGAATTCCCACACTTCCCAGCGTGCTGAAAAGTAGACATTTAGGCTCTTTTCTTCCTTGTAGCTTTGTGTAAAATGTTCCTGTCTCAGTGACTGGAGGTGTAGAGATGCTGTGATAATGAACACAGTGCTCAGTGTTCACAGCCAGGTTGGATAAAAAGCCTTGAGCAACCTGCTCTGGTGGGAGATGTCCCTGCCCAGGGCAGGGGGGGAGGACTAGATGATCTCTAAGCTCCATTCCACCCCCTTAACATTCTACATTCTCAACACCATCACAAATTGGACAAACAAATGAATCATACAATTAAAACAATGGAAAAGGGATTAATTCAGAGCCCAAAGGAATCAGAACTCCACAACCATAATGAATCCTGACAGGCAAATAAGAGAGATCCTCTATAAATGTATTTTTTCTGCAAATCTCAGCTCTTTCCAGGGACTGACACATGATTAATGAGCAAACAAAGTCTGTTCTGTACTGTTTGTCAGGTAAGGCCCCAAAGTTGGTGGTTAGACATCAATGTACCACTTGCACCTGGTGAATTATGTGAACCAAATCCTGTCATGTTCTGTTCTGCTCCTCAGCAAAAGGAGGAAGTTTAGGTTCAGCTTTGGCAATGAAATGCCAGTCCTTTGGGGGTGGAATACAACTGAATTCCTGAGCTCTAGTGCTCTGGGTGATTCCACAGGAACCATTTCCTTAAGGCACAAGACAAAGAGAAATTTGCATCAACTTCAGAAACTCCAACTGGAATGATTTCCATTTCCCAGCCACTGTGGTTCATTTGGAAGCAGGAGTTAAGAACCAGCTTGCTGGGAGAAGGTGACATCAGCACTCTGAAATGTCTGTGCTGGAATTCACAGCCAGAAATGCAGCAGTGTTGTCTGTCCACATGATTCCCTTCTGAATTGTGCTCTGGAAGTGATCCAGGCCAGGTTGGATGAGGCTTGGAGCAACCTGGGCTAGAGCAAGGTGTTCCTATTGGCACACAGTGAGTTTTAAGGTCCTTCCAACCCAACCCATTCCATGATTCTAGAAGTTCTCCAGGCAAACATTGCCCCATCTTAGTTCTGTTCCTAGATTCTGGTTTACCCACAAGGATTGTTCCCAAAGGAATGACATGTTGAAGCTGAGCTCGTGTGGCCTCTGCCACTAGCACAGAGCATTCCAGGACAACATTCTGACTCACTGTGATGACTTTGTTTTGATTGAAGGCTGTGAGAGTATAAAAAAAGCTTAATTTCTCCTGTTTGGACCAATTACCCCAAATCGTTCTGCTCTTGAAATTGTTTTTAAATGAAATTTCTTTTCGGTTCTTCTCCTCAGATTAGCTGAATGTATTTACTTATCTGTCTCAGCTCTGGCAAGGGTGAATTAGTCAATGTTTTGAGAGCTTTGGAAAGCATCATGTAGGTGTAAAGAGTGGAAATAATCTCTCTGATAGCATTTATCACTATATTTAATATGCTTTCAATTAGAATGCCAATTAAAGCTGATTTGTTTTAAAGAAACAGACATCTTTTTAATTACAGCACACACATCCAGGCTTGGGTTTAATTGCAGCAAGATTGCTGAAGTGCTGTTTTATCCCTAGATGCACAGGGACAAAGCTCTTCCTTG